CTACCCAACCGGTCGTAACTCGAGGACTTTCTCTGCCCAGGAGCGCCACACATGCGTGGTGCCGCCCCCTGCACCGGCCAAGGCATAGCTGGCAAGCGGCAGAGACGGAGCAGACTGACTACCGGCTGGGCCACCAGCTGGCCCAGCCCAAGGGAGGTAAGGCACCCACCGGGCCCCACGCGTGCCAGCAACCCTCCCTGCACCCGCCGGCCTCCCACCTCCCACCCCTGGCCCTTTTTTACTTACATTTTTAGTAGTTGCTCAGCAGGGAGGCATGGAAACTTCCAGACAGCTCACCTTCGCTGCAGACAACTTGCAGCACCGTTTGCAGAATGGGACTTTTGGCGGGCTCAGCAGGGCAGAGACAGCATGGACAATTCCTATTGGCTTTTGAAAGCCAATAGAATTAGACTCTATTCAAGAGAGTCTATTCTATTAGCTTTCAAAAGCCAATAGAATAAAAGGGAGTAGCACAGCTAAGGAAAAGGGGGAAAAAATGGCGGACTGCATTGTTTGGTGACCCCCGTGAAATGGTCATTCGACCCCAAATGGGGTTGCGACCCACAGGTTGAGAACCGCTGCTCTATACCATTTCAGACAAATCTCTTCTTAAAAACCTCCAGTGTTGGAGCACCCACAACTTTTGGAGGAAAGTCATTCCACTGATTAATTGCTCTAACAGTCAGGAAATTTCTCCTTAGTTCTAGATTGATTCTCTCTTTGTACCACCTTTGAATGTGTGTCACAATAGGGTAGACTTTGATCACATGGCTGGCACTGCCATGTTGATTTTTGAACCCTGCTCCCAAGAACCTTCCTGTTGAGATGAAAGGAGGAAATGGGGTTTTAAATGAGCAAAGAATACATCTGATGGACCCCTTAGAATTTCTCTAGCCCATGCTCAGTTCTTCCCTTGTAGATCTTCCTGTGGTTTTTTTTTTTTTTATTGGAGGTAGGACTTTAATGTCCCTATCTAGAAGTGGCACCATTCACCATCTGTCCGAGATCCAGCCATGCTCATTTAGGTCTGTTTTTCTTTTTTTGACAGAATGGTAATCAATGGTCCAATGGCAGCTTGATTGTAAACAAAGACCCTAAACCTCCGCAAAGCTGTCTTTGATCATGACAAGGCCAGATTTTGCAGCCCAGCAAACTATTTTATACTTAGGTGCCAATTTTTGCATAAGCTTTAAGCCTCACTTAAGCAAACAAGGGCTAAAGGAAAGGTCTATTCCCCGCCTGCCACAGCAGATCAAATACCTACTTGGGCGAAGCGAATTGTACACCTCTTTAGAAGGTTTGGCTTACAGGACCTTCATTTGTTTTTCTTACAAGATTTCTCCTCTGCTAGTCCAGGGGTTTAAAAGCTCAATAGGAAGAGTCACAATCTGTTTGGTCAACTTGCCTCCAAATCCTTGCTTTTCACATTCCCCCGTTAGAATTCAAAAACTGCCTTTTAATGTCTCAACGTGGAACAGCAATGTGGTACAATTGCCTGGCTCCCAGGACCAAGGATTATAAACAGAACTCCACAATAATTCCTGTTAATTTGTTTGCCTTCTAAATCCAGAATTCATTTAGTTGATCTTCTGCTTTCTTTCTTTTTTTTAAAGGACTTCAATCTAGGGTAAAGTACATTAATTATTTCTAAGGAAATTTGACTTTACGGTCTTTTCAGATTCCACCAGTAAAAAATCTGAAAGTCAAATATCAAATCATACAAACAAACAAAAAACTATGTTGAATGGTCTGCAGTTTTCGAAGGCATACTACTTAGGAATTTGAAGAGATGTGTGTCAATCAAAAAGGAAGCTTCAGGGAAATTGTTCTACAGTGCTATAGAATTGCTCCAGTTGTAGCAATGAGATTTCTGGGGAAATCATGCTTAGACTGCAGGTCTCCAGATAGCCACTAGATGGCAATAAAGTCTTGGAGTCCTTGGCAATTCTTCACTGCCATCTAGTGATCATTTGAATTTTTGCAGCCTAGCTTTGCTATATTTACGCCATTCCTCTCACCAGTGTGTACTTCTCTGTTAGATAAGATCTCTTAAGAAATAATATGAGACAGTTGTTCCAATGGGTCCTAAAAGGATTTATTTTTCTGTTGTCATCTTTTGAGCCTTGTAATAACTTAGAGCCCGTTTTTTTTTCTAAAGTTCCTAGGTGATTTAGGCACAGCTTTTCTACAAATGAAATCAGTCTTAGCCTTTATGGGATGTACTGGGAATTGCCTTTCAAGAGACAGATATTATTAAGACAAAAAAACCTATTCGTTTTGTTTTATTTCATTTATCTTATTATTGAAAGGACTCCAGGTGGCTTACAAAATTTAATACTAAATTAAATATGAATAACATAAATATTCTTTAAATTCTTTAAATTCTAAATATCATGAAAATACTCTAAAAATTTGCATGTATATTGATACTGAGTTCAAGTCATTACACTGCATATACCTCTGAGTTGAGAGAAGTGGGCACAATTGTGTGGAGTTACAAGGTAGTTTCTGGATTAGAGATATACAAGAATGCTTGGAATAAAACTTGTAGCATAATGTCAAAATGGACCAGAATTGACCACCTCTGTCCTTGCTATTAAGAGGGAATGCTGCAGAACTAATACTGCTAGAACTAAGTCTGGTAACTAATTATATTTTCTCTGTGACCAAAAAGCATTATGCAAAGGCCTTGATCAAGGACAATTGCAGAGGGGGGATTTTAAAAAATCAAGGTGAAGGCCATGATCAGGTGATCAAGGCACAAATATTTTTCTACATACATCAACATATAAAGAACAGGTAGGGCTTTGATCATACGGCTGTGGCCACCCTCTTAACATTTTTATTCTCTCTCCCTGTAAATACTTCTTCTGTAGATGGGTTTTGGATATATCTATGGACTATGCCATATGGAAAACTGTGGATTGGTTTATAAGAGAAATAAATGGTAAAGAAAATGAATGAATGAATGGATGGATGGATGGATGGATGGATGGATGGATGGATGAATGAATGAATGAATGAATAGTTATTTATATTGTATGTCTGTGAAACTAAGAGAAAGGAGGAGCTTAAAATAGCTCAAAATGAAGGTATGATTTTTATGGAGTAATTGGATGAAGTAAAGATGCTGGTTGAATTAGATATTAATTAATATGAACTGTCATCTAGGTTTATGTTGGAATCTATAGATTGGTGATCAATACAAATTATATTCCAGTGAATGATGATAATAAAAGGACCAGATATGTATTTGGTGGATAATTGTGCAACATCAGAGTAAATGAAGTGCAGGATAAAAGATAAAGACATGAGATGAGATGAATACCTAGACAGCAACAACACTGAATATCACTGATTCATTTGAAACCTAAGAGTGAACGGGAATAGTAAGAAGTGAATTTTTGTTTTGTTTGTTTTGAATAAAGGATTTATAAAAGCATGGTGTATCTGACTGTTTATGAGTAGACACCAAGAAATGAAGCGAAAGATACAAAAGTAATAAGAACTTCTGAATGTGGGACATGCAGAATGAATAGAAAGTGGACATAAAGAAGAGGATGTGGAAGCTGCGTTAAATAAAATGAGAAGAATTGTGTCATAGAGTGTCAAGGAAATATCTAGAGTTTAGCTAGTGGGAAATATGAAAAAGATGCTTGATGGAATAATGCAGTAGAAAAGGTTATGGATGAGGCAAATAAGAAAAAGACTGGTGCAAAAATGATCTAGTAGAAAAAGAATACTGCAGTTTGTAAAGATTATGATCAAAAGTAGCAAGGCAGAAAGTCAATTAAAAGAGGCAGAAAAAATACAGAACATTTTTGATGGAAATAAAAAAAGTTCTTTGGGAAGTGAGTGAAGAGGATTAAATAAGGATCTCTGGCAGAGTGACTGGAATAAAAACGAAAATAATAAGATGGCCAAGGATGAAACAAAGTGGGGGAATGCTAGAAGTAGCATTTTAGAGATTTGTATAGGAATGATTCTGATTTATCAAAGAATGGAACTGAAAAAAACCATAGAAAGGAAATTACAAATGTTCTAAGAATGTAAGGCTGCAGGTGTAGATGGCATATATATTAAAAAAGAGTACAGAATATGATTCAACAAACAAGAGTCACTTACAAAGATGTCAATTGTCCAAGCACTGCAGGTTTTACTAGTAGATCTTTGGGGTTTTGATCTATATAGCATTACTATAGTGAGAATTCCTGGTATCTCCAGAACCATCTTCTTCAACTGAAACCTGCCAATTCCATCAATTGTTCAACCCAATATGAACCCTTCTGTTCCCCGATGGTTTAGGATAGAATGTGGTTGTTTATGTTATCCTTTTGAAACATTCTGTCTTTGATTTGAATCTCATCTGAGATGGTTGCACAGTAATTATTTTTCAAATTTGTATCCCATTACAATAAAAACTCTTCAGTGGCTGGTATAATTTTAATGAACTTCTCATCTTGTTTATATATAAACCATTTGTAATTGTTTTAGAGTACATCATAATATAAAAATGTAGTGAATAAATAAATAATACCTCAATAAGTAGAAGAACAATAGTTGCTTTATTTTTTAGAGATATTCTATGGAGCAAATTCTTAGTTGTCTTCCCTTGAGTGTGGAAACTTGTTATTTTAAATGAGAAAGATAATACAGGAAAAATGGGCACTTGGAGTATTTCACAAGAGAACTAACATTCTTTGTAAATTACATCCATGAATTGTTAGTATGTCTATTGCAACAAGGCATCATAAATAATGGTAAAGAAACCACAATGTGATTAGCCAATCCAAAATAAGCAGAAAGCCACCTATTCTCAATGCAAGTAGACCACATCAAAGCCATATGATGAGTTATATATAGGTAATCATCAGGAAAAACTTGGATTTTGCAATTGGTACACATTTCCCTTAATACAGTGATGGGCAGGATTTGAACAATGACAACAATAAGAAACAAAGGATGGGATGAACCAACCAAATAAAATAAATACGGCTTACAGAGATTTCTAGACAAGGAAATTTGCTTCACTCAGCTCCGCCCAGTTCCTTGTGAATAAATATTGCTTCAGATAAATTTGTGTCATCATCACTTACAAGAATCACATTTCTGGAACGCTGTAAAAAACAGATAATGAGAACTATATTTCAATCCAAGTGGTTTATTTGAGCCAGTATGATTAAAGTGGACAATTTAGAATGCAGAAATGGATTTTAAGCTACAGGTAGTCCTCGACTTGCAATGAGAATTGAGCCCAATTTTGCCCCATTTTTTTGCCTCAGTTGTTAAGCGAATCACTCAAATTATTAAGTGAGTCATGCAGTCTTTAATTGCATCTGGCTTCCCCCATTGACTTTGCTTGTTGGAAGCCAGCTGGGAAGGTTACAGATGATAATCACATCACAGGGACAGCACAACTGTCATAAATATGAGTCAGTTGCCAAGGATCTGAATTTTGATCACATGATCAAAATTGCAGCATGTGGGAATGCTGCAATGGTCATACATGTGAAAACCCATCATAAGTCACTTTTTTCAGTGCTTTTGTAACTTTAAATGGTCACCAAATGAATGGCTGTAAGTTGAGGACTACCTGTACTCAGCTAGTAGCTTTTCTAATTGGAAATTTGATTGGTATCTCTAGATATGCTCAGACTATGGTCTTCATAATTCATATCCAGCATGGGTTTTGCTACATTCGGATATGAAGTTCCAAGTATTTGGAGGACACTAGATTAGTGAAGATTGTCTTAACCTAATGGAGACTGAATAGAATTTAGGTTGTCATATCTTCATAGGATTTAATTCCAATCCCAATTAAGTAAATAACTTACAACGAAGATGACCAAATAGCTCGACTTGACAGAGATTCAGTATCTTTTTTCCTCTTTAGACTTATTGCCATACCTGATTCAAAATCTACTTTGGAAGTGTGAGTCTTCCATTAGCTAGCATTAGAAATCAACAGACATAAATAAGCTGGGCTTTTTGAATTTTCTGATTGACATAACTAGCAAAATAATTATGAAATTACATAGTGGTTAAAAATAGTCCAGCTAAGGCAACTATAACATGTTAAAAAGACAGCACAGTAGCTCTTTAGCAAGCAGAGTTTTAATTATGGAGTTAAGTTCTTCACTTCCTTTTCTTTCCCACTCTCTCTGGATTTTTTTTGGGGGGGGGGGATGGTTTCCAAGATAAAGAAAACTGCAAAGTTTCAGAAGCTATAGAGCTGATTGAATAAAAAAAAAAGTTCCATTTTTTTGTGTGTTCTGTTTATTTGGTATCAAGATAGCAAGGGCGGTACATAAGGTGAAATTAATGCCTTATTTTCCAAACACACATTCAAAACTATATTCTTACCTAGTTCCATAAATCATAAGAAACTTGTGAATTTTTCGGTTATTGGGATAAAATCATATAAAAGTTCTTATTATTTTAGCTTCCTTTGCTTAAAGCACTGTGGTTAACTTTAGCCCCCCTCCCAACACCTTTTATGAAGATCTTCATCTCTAAATTAAATATCTCAAACTTTTTCTACAACTCTCTAAAATACTAATTATGGTTCAGAAAGATTCCATGCCAGATGCAGACCTGCTTTCAAATGGGCATATTTGCTAAATCACCTTGATTCAAATAGAATATTTGAGACTCAGGGTTGAACTGTTAGGGGTCCTTGGTAGTTTCTGAGTTTGGTTGTTTTCTTGAAGATATTTCATTACCAAACATCATCAGCTATCTAGTTCTAGTTGAATAATGAAATGTCTGCAACAACCAGGCTCAGAGACCATCAAGGACCATATATTTTTATTTAATTGAGCATTTGGTTGAGTTCAAATAATATCTCAATAGAAAGCTTTGGATTAGAAAAAGTTCACTGATAAGCATACACATTGCCACAAGAATTCACAGGTAGGATCAATTTGATCAAGCAATTTGATTACATCCTATACACACACACACACACACACACACACACACACACACCTTGCCAAGGACCCCTCTGATTGGTCAGGAATTGGGATTGTGTTGCAGACTTCACAAAATTACAGGAGACAACATTTAATTTCCAAATGATTTTTTTTAAATGATCTCAAAATAAAATAATATGAAAGATAAAGGGATGGGGTACATTAATCCATTTCTATCATAATCTCAAACAGCTTCAGTGAATTTGAACCATCTTAAGTTTCCTTATAGAGGACTTCTTTTTCATAAACAGTTAAAAAAATGAGTGTGCTTGCTTCGAACAGGTAAGCAATTAAAATTATTAACCATAGTCAAATTCAGAGCATTGCCAACTCCAAACAAAAGTAAAGTCCAGACAAGTCTAAACTTGTAGCTTTTGATTAAATCTTTTTTAAAGTACTGAAATAAGCAGAGTATTTGATGAAATATGCAGAGAGTTTAAACGTGCCACAGCTGATAGAAAAATGTGTGTGTATCTTGCACCTAGACAAAAATTCTTTTCTTATATTACTCTCAAAAGGCAAAATTAAGAACTAAAACAACCACTTTACAATGCCTTGGTAAGGCCACGCTTGGAATACTGCATCCAGTTTTGGTCACCGCGCTGTAAAAAAGATGTTGAGACTCTAGAAAGAGTGCAGAGAAGAGCAACAAAACTGATTAAGGGACTGGAGGCTAAAGCATATATGGAACGGCTGCTGGAATTGGGTATGTCTAGTTTAATGAAGAGAAGGATGGGGGGGGTATAATAGCAGTGTTCCAATATCTCAGGGGCTGCCACAAAGAAGAGGGAGTCAAGCTATTCTCCAAAGCACCTGAAGGCAGGACAAGAAGCAACGGAGGGAAACTAAGCAAGGAGAGAAGCAACCTAGAACAACCTGCCTCCAGAAGCGGTGAATGCTCCAACACTGGAGGTTTTTAAGATTGGACAGCCATTTGTCCGAAATGGTATAGGGTTTCCTGCCTGAGCAGGGGTTTGGATTAGATGACCTCTAAGGTCCCTTCCAACTTGTACTATTATTATTATTATTATTATTATTATTATTATTATTAACCTCCTCTTAGAAACTGTTCACTTCTTCTGGTTACCGTTGGTCTCTTGAAAGATATCTTCCTCCTTATACTAAAAATAGAGGTGATTTCAAAAATATTCAAAAAACTTCAATGGATAGTTAGGGCTGCAGAAAAAATAACTGCAATCAGGCTGCCTTCCACTGAGGACCTTATACTGACGAGCCACAAAGAAAAAATATCTACAGAGCCCTCATATCCTGGACATAAACTGTTTCAACTTCTTCCCTCAAGACAATGCTATAGGGCATTACACACCGAAACAACCAGAAACAAAGAGGTTTTTTTCCCCCATGCCACCATTCTGCTAAACAATGAATTCCCACAACACGTATGCCCTAGGATGTCAAACCACCAAGTAGGGTTGTATTACTATTAATCTTCTCATCTTTCCTATTATCTATTTCCTTAGCTTCTTATGACTATAACATTCTGGTTTGTATCTCATGATTTATGTTGATTGCTTTTATTTAGTATCCTGTTAATGATTTATATTGATTATTTAGTATCCTATGACTATCACTGAGTGTTGTATCTTATGATTGTGATGATTGTATTTTGATTATGGTCATGATTTATCTGTTGCTTGTATGTACACTGAGAGCTTATGCACCGGGGACAAGTTCCTTCTGTGACCAATCACACTTGGCCAATAAAGAATTCTATTGTATTGGTTCACAAACATCATTCTTAGATATTTCAAGTGAGGCCAGACATATTCTGTTGGCATTTGGGATGCAGGTATGTTTAATATTATTATCTCTGCCTTTTATCCAGAGTGAAATTCAAGATGAAATAGGAAGCTCCTGAGGTATTTTTTTCCTCCAGCTTTTTAAAAGCCAGCATTTACTTTTGTTGTGTGTAGGTTATAGTACAGGTAGTTCTCAACTTAGAATTACAACTGACCTCAAAATTTCCATTATTAAGCAAGAAAGTTGTTAACTGAGTTTTGCCCCATTTTATGACTGTTCTTACCACAGTTGGTAAAAGAATCACTCCAGTTGTTAATAACAGGGTTGTTAAGTGAATCTGGCTTTCCCATTGACTTTGCTTGTCAAAATGTCGCAAAAGATTATCACATGATCCCGGAACACTGCAACCATCATAATATATGCCAGTTGCCAAACATCTGGATTTTGATCATGTGACCATAAGGAAGCTACAATGGTCGTAAATGTGAAATACAGTCATATGTCACTTTTTTCAGTGGTCTTGTAATTTCGAATAGTCACTAAACAAATAGTTGTAAGTCAAAGACTGCCTGCAATGAATGTACAAGTGCAGTATTTCTCAAATATTTTTGTCTCCCTTTATATTCTTAAAAATGATTTTAAGCTCTTTGGGATCCAAATAGCTTTTGCTTATGTGGTCACCAACAGCCCTTGACTCACAACCATTCGTTTAGCAGTGAATGTAATGAGATACAAGGGCACCGAAAAAGTTTCTTACAGCCAATTCTCACACTTAGGACCACAGTAGCATCCAGATGGCCATACGACTGGTTAAAATTCAGGTGTTTGGCAATGGATATGTAATAAAGTTAATACAATGGTTGCAGTATCCCAGGACAAGTGATGACCATTTATAAACCTTCTCAGTTGGCTTCTGATAAGCAAAGTCAGTGGAAGAAGCTGGAGTCACTTAACAACTAATTGATTCTCTTAGCAACCACAGTGACTTGCTTAACAATTGTGGCAAAAAAAGTCATAAAATCAGATGGCCCACTTTATAACCATCACAACCAGCAACCGTAATAGGCAGGCCCCAAGTACGGTTGTAAGTCAAGGATCGTCTATAGATAATATCTCACCCATCAGGTAAATTATTTGTGAAGCTCAAACAGTGCAGTTATATATTTGGCTCACACCAATCACTTCTCACAACTGCCCATTAAATATTTTCTTTCCAATGGCTGCTGAATTCCCAGAGCAGAAAATAGGAAGAAAAAGAGTATATGAATTACCTCTGCTTCAACTGAACATACAGTCTAAGCCAAAGGTAGGCAACCTTGGCTCTTTTATGACTCGTGGACTTCAACTCCCAGAATTCCTGAGTTGAAGTCCACAAGTCATAAAAA